TGAAGCTTTGTCACTGCTGTGTCTCTTTGTCTCTCCCCAGTGACCTGTGATGTCGGGCGTCTACTCATATTCCTGTTTTCCATCCTGATCTCTATCTGTGTCTTTTATGGTCTGTTGTCCATTTTTAAGAATTAAGACATGTACCACAATGTTTTGTTCAGTTTCAAACTGGGTTCTTTCTTTTCCTATTGTCACCTTTTGAGGATTTTTTGTTTTGTTTTGTTTTGTTTTTGGTTATTTTTGCATCATCTTGTGCCTTTTTCCATGGACATCCCACCACCAATTCACTCGTGTGCCATCACAATAGTCCTGTGTACTTTTCCCTCCTATTTTTTTATCCCACTCCCATTCCACCCCCCATGAAATGTCTCTGGTATATAGTTGTTCCTTTTTTTTTGCTTTTTCTTTACTACAATTGCTTTCCCCACCTCCACCCCTCCCCCCCTTTTACACTCTTGCTATGAGTGACACCATCCGGTATTTTTCCTTTTCTTTCTGGCTTACTTCACTAAGCATGATCCCTTCCAGCTCCATCCATGTTGCAGCAAAAGGCATGAGTTTAACATTTTGAGGGTTCTTTCGTAAATTCAAGATCTTAGACCCTTGTCCAGTCGGTGGTCTTCACTCGCACTCTGTGTCCCACCTCCTATGCTGCTGTGACAAGGTACAACTGATGCCCGGGGCAGCACAGCCACTCCTGGGAGGGGAAATGTCAGCACCAAGCTTTGTGTAGCCCTGGGAGTTGCCGTGGGGAGCAAGAGGTGGGTGGGGGGCTGGAGGCTGCACTGTGGCAGGGCCTCAGCTAGAGGCCTGCGGGTTCTCCATGGCAGTCAATGAGGAAACAGCCCGCAAGCCCCTGGCTGGGTGCCACAGTCTCTGTGGCAGCGACGGGAGGCACAGGCAGCGGACCATGACCCGGGCAGCAGCCTGGTGGGCAGCCGGGCTGGCCTTGGTGCGGCCCCTCTTGTGCCCTAGGGCCCTTGGGAGGAAGGGGGCTGAGCAAAGTGGGGAGGGGGAGGGTGTCCGGGAGCAGCCCTGGCTCCAGGCTGGGTGGGGGAGGGGAGGAAGGAGAGGAGGCTTGTGTCTGGGGGTCCATCTTCTGTCCCCACAGCCTCTCCCTCAGCCCCGATGACAGCACTTGGGGGCTGCAGGGCAGGTGTTTTTCCCTTCCACTCCCTGCTCCTTCTCTTGGGGCTAGAGCTCCATATTTGATTTCAGAATAACTATACACTTATATGAAAATTGCGGTTAGTACGGAGATCCTCACATCCCATGCCCGTTTTCTTCATTAACATCTTACATCTCTATCTTGTCTGCGCAGCTAATGAAGCAATGTTACTAGTCACCCCCATACTTCATGGGTGTCACTAGTGTTTCTCTTTTCCGCCCCAGGCTTCATCCTGACCCCACGTTTAGTCCAGCTGTGTCTCTGAGGCTGCTCTGGCTGCCTCGGGCTCTCAGCCTCTCCTGGGTCTCCCTGGTTTTCATATTTGGGGGTCCTGCCCAGGTTTAGGGTAGAGGGGCCTCAATTTGAAGTTGGAGGGGTGGGGGACTGTGTGGGGAAGAGACCACACATGGGGGCCATCTCAGCATGGGGGTTCCCTGGACTGACCCTCCCTGATGGGGCTCCCCTCCCCCACCTGGCTGAGGCCGGGTCCCCACTGTCTCCGTGGGAAGTTTTCTTTCCCATGTCCCTTCCACAGGGGAGTCTGGAAGGAGTCGCATGTGGAGCCCACACTAAGGGGTGCTCTGCGGTAAACATCTGTGTGCAGTTTTCAAGTGAGTTGGTGAATATGAGGAGCGGGACCAGCAGATTCTAGGGTAAATCTGTGTTTCACTTATAAGAAACTGAAATTGCCAAATCCCTTCCACAGTGACTGTGTGATTTTGCATTTCTCTTGGCATTGAATAGGGGTCCCTGTTGCTCCCCACCCTGCTCAGCACAGTGTCCCCCCTTATCTGAGGTTTCACTCTCCAAGGCTTCATTTTCCCACAATTAAACTGGGTTCAAAGTTTTTTCATTATAAGATATTTAGAGAGAGGCCACATTCACACACTGTTTACTACAGTATGTTATTGTGATTTTGATTGCGCTGCTTCAAACTGTTATTAATCACACTGTCCCTAAGTTATGAAGTAAACATGTCACATGTCTGCATGCATAGGGAAATCTCGGTGTGTACAGGGCTCCATGCTGTTGGTGGTCCAGGCATCCACTGGAGGCCTTGGGATGCATCCCACGGGGATAAGGGGGGGGAGTGGCGCGAGGGGTGCGGGGAGTGGGCTGCTGTGCTGGCGTCTGGCTTTAGGCCACATGACAGGTGCGTATTGTGTGTCCTGTTGCTTTAATTTGCATTTGCATTTATGTCTTTCAACATATGATAGTATCTGCCCATATGCCTAGTTGCCACCAATAGAGCTTCCTTGGAAACTCCTCAGAAGTTTACTCAATTTTTAAAAAGTTAGTTGTTCCTTATTGAATTTTAAGAGCTCCAGGGACATTCTAAAGCCTGTGTTAGGTCAGAGTTGTGTGTTGTTGTTGTTGTTTTTAAGATTTATTTATTTATTCATACAGAACTGGGGTACAGGCCAGAGATGTGGAGGGTGAGAGGACAGAGTGGGGAACAGAGCAGAGAGATCTACGAGGTTCACTGCTGAGGGAGCGGGTCAGGAGAGGTCTGCCACGCCACGTGGAGCTCCTTCGGGGCAGGCGGGGATTGAACTCATGTAGAAGTGGCTTAAGCTACTTAGTGCAGTGCTTTAACCCGCTACACCACCAGGGAGGGCCCAGAGTTGTGTTTTACAGATATTTTCTCCTGGTCTGTGTTTGTGTCTGTGGCCCAAACTCTTTTACAGACCAAACACTAACATTTATGCACAGGTAGACTTTTCTGGGAAGAGAAGTGAGCAGTTGCTGACTGCAGTGGGTCAGAGTACAGGGAGCTTGTTTGATGAAGGATGACATGACTCATGTATCTGTGCATGATCTTGAGTATTTATGGATCCTGTGTGTGCACGAATAGCAAGCGTTAGTTATTCTCAAAATCATTTCTTGTTAAAAATAAATTACATGAGCATCCCTGACACTGTGAAACACTGGCAGATCCCCTCATCATGTGTTCTCAGGCTCTGACCCTCCTCTCTGGGACCCGCCATCTTGTCACGGAACTGTTTTTGCCATAAAATTCGCAAAGGTGAGTTGGCTGTGTGGACACACCTTCCTACAGAAAATATTAAAAATGCAATGTGAAATGTAAAAGCATCAGAACTAATGATCTAGTAATAAATGGCCACACCCAGAGAGAAGGGAGAGACTGGGTGGGCCCCAAGGAGAGCAGCCTCCTGAGGAGTGGGGGAGGGGCTGTGAGGGCCCCCCAGAGCAGACAGGGCCCCCCCTTCAGCTGTGTGCTGACAGGACTACCAGCACCCGCCCTCCCTTTCAAAAAGTAGGACCTGCCTTATTCAGGTTGTGATGTGTGTAAACATACAGTTCATAGGACATAATGTGTGTGTGCTATAAAAATACAAAATGTGACAAACAAGCGTTTTTAGATCAGGAGGGAGTAAAACCCACTGTCAGCTGTTAACAATGAGAAACACAAAAGCACTGAAATAAGGCCCCAAGTCTGGGGATGACCGGTCACTGTCAGCCCCCCAAGGCAGGTCCAGCACCTGAGCCCAGAGAAGGACTGCCCAGAGGGATGGGTGGAGGGGCAGGGCCGTGGACAGAGACCCCCTGTCCAGTGTGAAGAGCTGTTTTCCCTGGCCAGGGAGGCTCAGGAAACAGGGCAGCATCTCTTCAGGCCTGAAAGAAGCAGTCTGGAGACAAAGCAAACCCGGTTTCTGATGACAGAGCACATGTGGGTCATTTCTGCCACAATCCAACGTTCTATGTCCCAAGGAAACTCATTAGTATGAGATGATTAACCTATGGGGGGAGGGAGGGACACTATTATCTTTACTTTCAGGGCTGAATGACAAAAACTATCATTATTTAGATTTAGAACCTGTACACACTTTCTAGAAAATGGATGAGGGCTTGTCCCTTCAACTAGAACTCAACATGAGTCTGTCCCTTTAAGAAAATCATCTGACAGTGTCACAGGAGAGTGACCAACCGCCTTAACAGGAGGACAAGCTCCAGGTGAGAATCACAAAATGGAAACTGTGGCCCATCGCTATGCACTTGACAACTTCCAGTAGCCACTTACTTTTCTTTAGGATCTTTGGAGCACGAAACATACATGACTTTCCAAATTTGATTCTAGTGCAGCCTCCTCCTTACACTGTGACTTGCCATGTCTTTAGTTTCATGTTTGCAAAAACTAAGGAAAGTTGATGATCGCTACAAGGCTATGAGGCTTGTATGTTTTCTCCTAATAACAGTACCAAGGAGAGAACAGTTACCTCTCTAGAGTCACAGTTGGAAAACCGCTTACTATTTTATCCCCCAAAGTCCCAGAATTCCTGCTAGCTCCGCCCTTGGGTCCTCGCAGTTCTCTCCCTGGTACTTCTGGGAGTTGTAGTTTCCCCATCACTGGAGTATGGGGTGGAATTCAGAAAGCTGGAATACAGGTGGAGTCCATAAGACTCTGCAGAGTTCATTTAGAACATCCTTCCGCTTAACAATTCTGTAATGTTAAAGTCATATTCATGTAAAGGAATTGGTGTGCTCTGGATGGCTTGATAAGGTAAATTATGAAAAGGAATCATTGTTTTCTTGTCTTTCATTTTAATACTGGAGGGGTTTTTTTGCTAGAAGAAATGACCATCTCCTGCTCTCACATAGTTGCGCCTCCGAAACCGCCTGTAGCACAGAATTTCTAGTGAAAGGCTGGATCTGGCTTGGAGAAGTTTCCCGGTCCAGTTTCCCTCCCTCTCAGTCTCTGCGGGGCCTCCTGCCTAGCTACAGGTGACACGCCCTAGCTCTCGCTCCCCATTGCCTGGGGGTCTCCAGAGCAGCCAATCAGCGTCTCCCGGCCCCCACCACCCCGCCCAGACTCAGATTTCCGCAGACTTAGCAGATGTGGGTAAAGAAGCCCCCCACCCTCCTGCCTCTGCTCTTGGGGGCGCTGGCACAGACCTGGGCCGGTGAGTGGGGAGTCGGGAGGGAAACAGCACTGCAGGAGAAGCAAGGGGACCCTGGATTGCACCCAGAACCCGGGAAGCCGCGGTCGGGGTTGTTGGCCCTACGGACCTTCCTGGTTCCCTCCCGACCTCCTGCCATCTTTGACCCCCTGGGCCCCGGCCCCTCTCGACTTTCCTCCCCTTAGCATTATCACCCTCTCGTCCTTCCTCCCTTCCCGCCCCATCTCCCTGGGACCCCGGGGACCGCGCGGAGTAGACTCAGCCCGGGTATCCCCTCCCGCCCCCAGGCCCCCACTCCCTAAGGATTTTCAAAACCGCGATGTCCCGGCCCGGCCTCGGGGAGCCCCGCTTCATGGTGGTGGGCTACGTAGACGACACGCAGTTCTTGCGGTTCGACAGCGACGCTCCGGGTCAGAGCGCCGAGCCGCGGGCGCCCTGGGCGGGGCAGGTGCGGCAGGAGGATCTGGACCAGGAGACGCTGAACCAGAGGCGCAACGCCCACAAATACCGAGTGCACCTCAAAACCCTGCGCGGCTACTACAACCAGAGCCAGGACGGTGAGCTCGCGGGCGGGGGCCGGGGTCGCCCCAAGTTATGGGTTCTGAGCGACACTCCAAGCTGTGAGGCCTGCCTGGGGCTCGACCCGTCAAGCGCCAGGCACTTTCCTCCCTGTGGTTTCATTTTCAGTTTAGGGTTATTCCGGGCGGGAGGTCGGTGACCAGGATACTGACGCGGGCGGGGCTCAGGCTCTCACACCTTCCAGAATATGTTTGGCTGCGAATTGGGGCCCCTCGGGCACCTCCTCCGAGGGTACAGTCAGTACGCCTATGACGGCGAGGATTACCTGACCCTGAATGAAGACCTGCGCTCCTGGACCCCCGCGGACCCGGTGGCCCAGATCACCCAGCGCCAGTGGGAGGCGGACGGCAGGGCTGAGCGCCTGAGGAACATCTTGGAGGGCAGGTGCCTGGAGTGGCTCCGCAGGTTCCTGGAGCTGGGGAAGGAGGAGCTGCAGCGCACAGGTCAGCTGATAGAGGACCCCATCTCCCCCTGACTGCACCCCCCAGGGAAAATGGGTAAGCTGATAGAGGACCCCATACCCCTGACTGTGCCCCACAGGGAAAATGGATAAGCTGGTAGAAGACCCCCCCTCCCCCTGACTGGCACCCCTCAAGGAAAATGGGTAATCTGATAGAGAACCCCACCAACCCTGACAGGCACCCCACAGGGAAAATGGGACATAGTTCACTCTCAGGTCTCAAGAGGGGAATCCTCCTGGATTTTCCGTTCTTCCTGGAGGGAGACTGGCCTAAGGCCTCTTCTTTCACGGAAGGGCAGGAAGGCTCTCCTGACTTTGGAGGGAGACATCCCTGCTGTAACTCTCCACTGGGTCCACTTGACTCAGCCGCCATCTTGGGAAACACCATTTTCTCTGTAGAGCCTTTGTTTTTGGTCATTTTGGACCTCTGATTTCCCATTTAACATGCATCCAGGGTAGGAGAAAAATCTGTGTTGTCCTTGGAGACCTTCATCTTCCTACTCTGTGCTGTCACCCCGTTTCCACAGTTTTCTTAGGAGTATCCCACATTTCCCAGATCATACTGGTTTTGGGGTTTTCTGCTTCCTCCTTCCAAACTGATTGTGAAGATGGGCAGTGAGGCTGCCTCAGTATCTGTGGAAGAGATCTGAACTCTGTTTATCTGACCCTTCTCCTCAGATCCCCCAAGGACGCATGTGACCCTCCATCCCACCTCTGACCATGAGGTCATCCTGAGGTGCTGGGCCCTGGGCTTCTACCCTGCGGAGATCACCCTGACCTGGCAGCGAGATGGGGAGGACCTGACCCAGGACACGGAGTTGGTGGACACTAGGCCTGGTGGGGATGGAACCTTCCAGAAGTGGGCGGCTGTGGTGGTGCCTTCTGGAGAGGAGCAGAGATACACATGCCATGTGCAACATGAGGGGCTGCCAGAGCCCCAAATCCTGAGATGGGGTGAGGAAAGGACGTGGACACAGAGCCTCTTCTTAGGGGCATCAGGGCCCCTCCTGGACCCCTCAGAGGGTCAGGATGAGGCCTGGGGCTCAGCCTCTCCCCTCCCCTTCCATTCTAGAGCCCCTTCCTCAGTCCTCCACCCCCACTGGGGGCCTCATTGCTGGCCTGGTTCTCCTTGGAGCTGTGCTCACTGCGGCTGCGGTGGCTGCAGCTGTGATGTGGAGGAAGAAGCGCTCAGGTAGGGAGGGAGTGGGGGATCCTGTCCACTGGGGGCTTTCAAGTCACAGGGAAAACTGCCTCGCCTGGTTAAGGGAAGCATCCGCCACACAGTGTTCCCAGTCTGGAGCTTTCTGCTGACCCTCTTTTATAAAAACTTATGGAAATGAATCACGGACTGTTCACCTTGTTAACTCTGGTGATGGATCCTATTTCCCAGCCGATGACAGAGGGGAAGTTCCCTGCTGAGGAGAGACCCAGGAGGTAGTTAGTTCAGTCCCCCCTTTCTTCATATTCCTGGTCCTGCTCTGGCTCCTCAGTCACGGTTTAAAAACTCCCTGTGGCCCAGACTATGGGATTCCTTTAGCACTTCATGACCTGACTCCTCCCTGGCCTCACATGATGTCTCTTCCCATAGGGGGACAAGGAGGAAGCTACACTCAGGCTGCAGGTGAGTGTGGATCAAGGGTTTGGTCCCTGAGCCCCTGGGACAGTGTAGATGGAGCCCCTGGGGGAGTCACCCCATCAGCCCCCCCTGTGGTCTCCTGTCTGGTGGCTCTGACCAGGTCTGTGTTGTTCTCCCCCAGGCAGCGACAGTACCCAGGGCTCTGATGTGTCTCTCAGCCCCTAAAGGTGAGACCCTGAGGCCTGTTTGGGAGGGGCTGGGGCAGAAAGGAGGGACCAGGTATGGGGAACTCTGAGTGGAGCATTCTGAGGACAGGTGGCCTATCAAGAATGTCCACACTGATGTGATCCCATGCATTTGTTCATGACATTTTCTTTCACAATGTGCTGGGACTAAGAGACCTGATTTTTTTTCACCCACATGTCACGGCTTCCAGATGCCCTGGCCTCTCCTGCTACAGAGGGCACTGCAGGTGTCTGTGATCTCACTGGCATAAGTGCAGAGATGGGAGACTGGCCCCGCCCTGCCCCCCCCCCCCCATGCTCTCTCCCTGAGGACTGTCCTGCTCTAGCAGCAGCTGGCTGACGCTGTCCCTGCATGCACTGAGGGTTTCCTGAGGGAAACAACAGTCCAGATGTGAAATTACTTTTCTGATCTTATGAATTGGAGTTGATGGATTAATAAAGGAGTTTCCTGACATTTGAAAAAAGAATTAAAGGGAACACAAAGTACTAACCAAACTCTAGCTTTGGCTCCCTTTTGGGGCCATTTCTTGGGTTATTTTTCCCATATTTTCATGGATTTTTTAAGAAACTAAGTTCTGGTGTTAGTAGAGAGAAGGATCATGTACTTTCTCCTCTTGGGTAAGTGCCTGCTGGAAATCTGTTTCCTCAGCTGCCCCTGACCCTGCCCTGAAGTGTCCTTATCCCAGTGCTGGCTCGGCCCAAACTCACGGGCTGATAAATAGGAGTCAAAGTGACACTCACAGTCGGTGGAGAAATCAGACCCATCACCCAGGAGTGTCCTTTCTGAGGAATGTGCTGTGGGCTGTGGTGTGACTGGAAGGAAGGGGGAGGGGCAGGCAGTGCTGTGAGGGAAGCAGAGGCAGCCTTACTGTCACTGTGTGTTGAGGTTGTGTGAAGCCTGTGGCCTGAGGCCTCATTACTAAAGATGCTGTCTCCAGACCAGGGCGGTTGCGACACTTACTCATTGTTCATTCACTGTGGCTTGCCAGGTGTGCGCCAGGCTGTTCTTCATTGCGGAAACTTCCATGAACTCGAACAGGCCCAACTTGCTGGCTGTGGAGCGTGTGTCCTGGTGGGGAGGGGAGACTGGAGGCTGTGACAGAAAATAAGGGGCATGTCTGGTTAGAAGGGGTCAGGACTGTGGGAAGGTGACCCTGAGTCAGTGTGGGGGCACAGGGCGGAGGGCGACCTCCCTAGGAGTCAGTGTGGGCCTCCCCTAGGTGACTGTTGAGAGAAATACTTGAGGGACAGTTTGCCCACAAGCACGTCCAGGGAAGCTATGTCCACTGCAGACACCAAGGCAGGAACGTGTCTGTGCGGCTGAGATGAGCAAGGGGACAATTGGCCGGGCAGAGGGTGACAGACCTGACCCCACGCAGGCCTCGCGCATCTTGGGGGGCTTTGACTTTCCTGGGTAAAATGTGGCTTATGGGACCTTTCTGGACACACAGCGACCTGTGAGATGTCTCCTTAGAAGCCTCGGTCTGGCTGAGTGCAGAGTCAAGAGTGAAGGGGCTGTGGTGGGAAGACAAATGTAGGAAACCAGTGCTGATTCCAGGACAGAGAGGTTGGTGGCTTTGCTGGGCTGTGAGCAGGGAAATAAAAAGGAAGTGACTGGATCTGGATATAGTTAGAGACGGACTTGACAGCATTTTCTAGTACTTCTGGGTGGTAAGAGAAAGGGGTCAAGGTTGACATTCAGTATTTCAGGCTGTGAAGCAGAGATGTGGAGGGCCTGAGAGGACATGAGGAAGGTTCTGGAAGTTGTAATTTTGAGGAATGGCATCCTAGGATTTCAGGGGAGGGGAGCTGAAGCTGAGATCTGTTAGAAACACCGTGATGGTGGCAGTGGATGGACAGCCTGGAGCACAAGAGACATGTCTGAGGGAGGAACAGGTCTGGGGATGATACTGTGTGAGTGATACCCAAACTCTTGAGCATGGATGAGCTCACCCAGGGTAATTCTTTCCATTTTCTCCCTTTGCAGAAGAGAAAGGAACAGGACCAGACCCAGGACCTCCCAGTGTTCATCAGAGCCCACTGCCCACTCTGACCCCATGTGAAGAGACTTGGGGACCAGGGTGCCCCTACTTCAGTGAGCAAAGGAGTCACCTGGACACTCATGAAGGCTCAGAAGGTGTAAAAGAGTATCTGAGGGTCTGCTATGAGACCCTTCTCATTTTAGGGAAGGAGAGTTTAGGGTTGATTCCAAGAAGGGGGCACTTCATCCCTGGAAGCAGAAGCAAGAAGAAATAACAGGGGCTTTGGAGTCTAAGTTTCCATCTCAAGAGACTGAAGGAATCCCTTTATTTGGAGTATCTACCAAAAATCTAGGAGTCAACTATTATGACTTGGAACCTGGTTCTGCCCTGAGTCAGTAGGACTCACTAGGGAGAAATTTTGAGGATGTTGAAACTGTGGCTGGACCTGGGATTCCCCTTGTGAGCAGATCCCTGTCCTGCAGTTGGGAGCCCAGGGCGCCCTGGGGGACCTGGCTGAGCAGGAGAAAGGGCAGCTCTGGGCTCCTGTTCTCAGCCCCATGGCCACACGGGGGCGCTGCCGCGCTGCTCTGGTTCTGGCTGAGCCGCCAGGACTGGGCAGGTCTGAGTGGGGCAGAGTGGGTTGTCCTGGGGGCTGAGATGATCTGTGGGGAGTCAGAGAACAAGGGTTCAGAGCAGTGCAGACTGCCCTGTGTGTGAGGTCTCCATCCTTTTTCAGGACCCCTCTCCTCAGTCTCTCATACCAATACCTGGGGAAACCGGAAAGTGGATATTGTTATTCTACTACAATTGTTACTTTATGGAGGAGTATTTTTTTTTAAGATGTATTTATTCATACAGAACTGGGGTACAGGCCAGAGATGTGGAGGATGAGAGGCTTCACCAGAGACACAGTGGGGAGCAGAACAGGCAGATCGACGAAGTACACTGCTGAGGGGAGCAGCGAGCGGGTCAGGAGAGGTCTGACACACCATGTGGTCACCTCCGGGGCAGGCGGGAATCGAACTCATGCGCAAGTGGCTTTAGCTTCTTAGTGCTGTGCTTTAACCCGCTGCGCCACCAGAGAGGGCCATGGAGGAGTACTTTTTTTAATAACATTAAAAACATTATTATACTTGCAGAAAGTTGCAGAGGTATGTCCCCCTGCTCCCCACACTGTGAACATCTCACCTGACCTCAGGACACCCGTGCAGCTAATGGAGCCATAGTGACTCACGGTCACTAAGCCCCACGCTCCACCTGGAGCTCATCACTTTCCTTTTTCATGTCCCAGGATCCCATCACGTTCCAGCCATGTCTCCTTTTCTTACAGGGTAACCCAGAGTGGACTGGGCCACCTGTCTGTGGGGACTCACCCGCACGCTCACAGTTCAGTTATACTGCAGGTACACACAAAAGGCTCAATAAAGGGTTTATTTACAAAAGGGGAAACGAATAGGAAACAACCCAGGGAAAGAGAGCAGGATACAAAGTAACTGGAATCCACTTCAGCATGAGTTTGATCCCCACCTGTCCGGGAGGTGACCCACTGGGCCAAGCAGGCCTCTCCTGACCTGCCCGCTGCTCCTCTCAGCAGTGTACTTGGTCAGCCGGCCTGCTCTGCTCCTTGCTTTGTCTCTGGTGAATCCTCTCACCGCCCCTGCACCTCTATCCTGTACCTCAGATATTTTTTTTAAATCTTAAAAAACAATACTTTCAAAAATCCCCCCTAGGGGCTGAGCCACTCTGCATCTTGCCAGCAATGGTTAAGGGTCCCGGTTCTCCTCGTCAGGCAGTGACATTTCTATTTTCGCCTTCTAATAGATGAGTGATGACCTGACGTTTTTATCTGTCTTTCCCGAAATCCCCCTTGACTTTGTCACCAGGTGGGGCCACCTCCTTGGACCCAGAGATGTGGCCCCTGCCCCTCCCTCGCACTCCTGAACCCCTTGGGAGTCCCAGTCTCCCCACCCAGGGAGTGCGCTGTCTGGGGTGCCGGCCCCTTTGGCTTCCCTGGCAGCTTCTCCAGGAAACTCCCCTGTGTGATTCCCTGCTGGCATTTCAGAGTCTCTTTGTCCGCGCCAGGGAAAGACCTGGCTGTGATCTTCACACTGGTAACTTTGCCCAGACCCAGGGACTCTGGGATGTGCTGACCACGTCAGATACCTGACACCTCACACTGGGTGCAGGAGAGATTCAGCCCAGACACAAATGGGGGGACCCCTCAGGCTCCCCCACTCGCAGCCCCTTCATCTCCCCTAGCATCCAGGTTTCATGATGCCCCAGCACAATGGGGAGCAGGTCAGGAGACTCACCCCTGACCCCACAGCTCCTCAGGGGGGTGCTTCCTGAAGGCGGCCACCACCCCCACCCCAGCCTCAGGGCTCCCCAGCAGAGCCAGGGCTGTGCAGAGGGTGATTCTAGAACACTTCCAATTACAGGGCCTCAGCTCACTTACTTCAGGGCAAGCTCCGCTGTCCCCACAGGTGAGTCTTCCCTGAAGAGAGTATTTCATGGGAAACCCGGCTCTCTCATCTCCCCCCTAGTTCTGTCCCTCTAAGTCACATTTTACTGTGTGACCCTTACTTTGACAATTCTAGTTTATTGTCAGCTATTCAGTCACCATGCCGTCTCTGAGGCGAGGGGCTTCACTCCCGTGTGTTGAAATTCCCCATGTTGTCGAGCCAGTGCCTACATACGGCAGGTGTGGACCAGGTCTGTGCAGGAGGCCCAGTGTCTGGGCCAGAGGCCCTCAAAGCGAGGTCTGCCTGGGCGGCTCCCTGATGGGTGATGGGCTGGGGGGCCTTATGTTTGGGGGACAGGGTCCACTCCCTGCTCACAGAGGAGGAGCCCAGCAGAGAGCCCACCGTGGCCAGCAGCCCTGGGCATCGGTGCTGGGTCAGACCCAGCTGCTCTGCAAACTTACTGGGGGCACCTGACTGAGGGGGGGGGGCTGTGGACACTGCAGTCCTGGCCCAGACCAGGTCCGGATCTGCTGATTCTGTCAATAAAGGTGAGGCTGAACTACAATTTGGGGTCTTGGGAGTCCCCTGTGACCCTTGACCTCTTGAGACTGTGGGGGGCTGAGGGCTGTGAGTTGAGGGGGACTCAGACTGGGCTGTGAGGTCCCAACCCAGGGAGGGGTCTGGGTCAGGGCCCTGGGCTGCCCCCTGCAGGTGGCACAGGACTGTGCTCCCCTTCTCTGGGCCCTTTGATTCTCCCTGTCACCCTAACATAAGGTGGGCTTGCTCTGGAAGAGGGGGATCTACTTAATAACTTCTTTCCTTTTACTCCATGTGTGTTTGAATAACAGCACAGATCTAAGCATGGAGAACGCCTCACACTAA